GTGCTGCTGCACACTTCTAGCCTTGGCCCAGGCTGTGCCCTCTCTTGGGGTACCACTCCCTATTCCTTCCTGGTGAATCCAGATTTGAATCCGAGAGCCCAGCTCTTCCAGAGAGGGCTCCAGGCTTCACTCAGGCTGGCTTCACATCTGCACTCTGCCAAGTCATTAACCACTGTGTGCCTTAGTTTCCCCATTTGTCATGTAGTCTCACTGTGTAGACTGTGGTAAGGATTACATGAAATTGTACATGGGATGTGCTGAGCACAAGGCCTGGCCCATGGTTTGCATCAGAGAGTGAACGAACGTATTGCTGATAAATGCCTGAGACAATGGACAGGACCCTTGTGGTACTTTGTGTGTCAATTTGGCTGGGCCTGGTTGAGTGGCTGGGCAGCTGGATGCCATATTTCCCCATGATGAGACTGGTAATCAACTCCTATGGTGGAATCTACTGTGAGCAACTGAGTAGTTGCCTTAGGGATGTGGTCTGCTTTCTGTATATGAGGAGAAGCCTTGGGGAATGGTCTTTAGCTTATGGCATGCTTGAACCCTGCTTGTAGCCTTGTCGTTGCCCAGCAGCCTGCCATGCTCTGCCAATCCTGGGACTTTCAATGGACTTGACTTAATGTCCTGCCATGTGGTTTGGTAACATCGAGATGGTGCCTTTTTACTTGTCAACCTTGGGGCTTCTCAGCTTCAGCAGCCAGCAGCTGTCTAAGTGAAGAAAAGCCTCTAGCTCCAGCGGGCTGGGAGCAGGAGGCAGAGCTGAAGCCCACGGTTGAGGGGCTTTCACCCAGCCCCTAGAGCCTGGCACTTTGAACTCGGACTTAAAGCCTCCAAACTATAAGAGAATAAACTCCTGTTTGTTCAGCCATCCTATTTGTGGTATATTCTTGTCAGTGTGGTACTAGGTAACTGGAAGAACCCCATAGAATAAATAACGACACTGTATTTCCTGAAGGAGTGACAGGTGAAGAACTGAAGGTGATACAACCTGAGAGGGTGTCCGTCGCAGCTGGAGAAGCGGTCACTCTGTCCTGCTCTGTCTCTGCTCTGGTTCCCGTGGGACCCATCCAGTGGTTCAGGGGGACTGGGCCAGATCGGCAGTTAATCTACAGTTTCAAAGGAGGCCTAGACCCCATTCGCCTCTTCCCCCGGGTGAGAAATGTTACGGACACCACGCAAAGAGGCAACATGGACTTTTCCATCCGCATCGCTAACATCACCCCAGCAGACGCTGACACCTACTTCTGTGTGAAGTTCACAAAAGGATCCGATGATGACGTCGAGTTTAAGTCTGGTGTCGGGACACAGGTGACCGTGAGTGGTGAGTACATTGTGGGGCTCCGCCCCCTGGTGTGGCAGCAGCTCAGTGATAATGCTCTCTGTTGTAAGAACAGCAAGGTCCTTATCCCCTGTCCATAAAGCCAATGATCACAACAGGTTGAAGCAGGAAAACAAAAGAATGTATTGAGTACAATACCCAAGGAGACAGACAATCCTTTCTCTGAAAAGTCTGTCTCCTGAGCTAAGAAAAGGCTGTTGTTGTTGTTATGTGCCGTCGAATCAGACCCAACTCATAGTGACCCCTCCTTGGGTTTCCGAGGCAATATCAGTATGGAAGTAGATTGCCCCATCTTCCTTCCGAGGAGTGGCTGATGGGTTTGAACAGCCAGCCCTCTGGTTTGCAGTCAAATGCCTTAGGCACTACGCTACCAGAGCTCCTAAGAAAAGGTTAGGGCTTTTAAAGGGAATTCAGCTGAGGGGTGGGGGACTTGAGGAATGCTGATAATGTCTCCTTGTTGTCATCAGGATGAGTCATTTCTTCCCGTGAACTTTCTGTCACTCTTGTCTGCCTTAGTCAGAATTGTTCTGTGAACGCTTCCTACTTGTCCAGGAAGATTACCCCTGGAGGAGGGGAAATGTGGGAGTGGGGACACTCAGGCTTTCTGGCTGGGGATGTCCCTTTGCTTCTTTTTCTTGGTTGCTTCGTGTCTCTTTTCTCAGGGCATGTCACTCCACAAACTGCGGTCATCAGCTAAAAATGGGCAGTGGGTTTAGGTCACATGCTCTCAGGGATGTGTAAGGAAAGAGAACAACCTGGAATGACTAATCTATTTATGCAGAAGGAGGGAGAGGGAAAAGGAAGAAAATTAATCATCACGGCCAACATCTACCATAATCACAGCTGTTCATTTGTTATACTTCTGTGATTTCTCAGCAAGATGGCTTCTCTGGTCCTTCAACAGCTCTCTTTTTTGAACAACAGCAAAGTGTCAGGTGTGATGGTGGGTGTTTATATTTATAGTCACCTTTCACTCCCTTTTACAGAGCAGAGAGCTGAGGCCTAGAGGTCAATGTCCCACAGCTGATAAATGTGGAGAAAAGTCTGGAAACCTAGTCACCCTGACTCCAAACCCCTGCCTTTTCCTATCTGGTCCCCACAGACGAGGGAGCTGAAAGTTTGGGCGACTTCCCAGTCATAGGCCTGACCTCACCCCCTACTGCAGATTCTTCCCCTGCAATGTGGTGGTCATGTCTTCTCTTACTCAGCAAACATCTGCTGAGGACCTACTGTGTGCCACGCTCTGCTCTCAGGGTTTGGAATCAGTAATGCACATTGTTGTTGTTATGTGCCGTCGAGTCAGACCCGACCCATAGCAACCCCTCCTTGGGTTTCCAAGGCAATATCACTATGGAAGTAGATTGCCCCATCTTCCTTCCGAGGAGTGGCTGGTGGGTTTGAACTGCCAGCCTTCTGGTTAGCAGTCAAGTAAGTGCCTTACGCACTATGCTACCAGAGCTCCCAGCAATGCACATAGTAGGGAAAATCTCTTCCCCCTTGAAGCTTCTGTTGTCTTCCTTCACAAGGAGGAAAGGGTCAGTCCAGGGCAGAGATGGGGACATGAGTTTCTTTCTTTAGTCTTCAGAAACATCACACTGAGCAGAAAGTCCTAAGAGGCAAAGACTCACTGTTTGATCTGAGAGCCCTGGTTGGGGAAGATGCTGACAGGCCTGGCTTCGCTGGGGGCTCTCAGGAAAGCCCCATGTGATTCAGGACTGACACCCCACTGAGCACAGAAGGCTCCAAGCCAGGCCTCGTCATCTCAGAACCCCTCATCCCAGAGAAGAGCCTCCATACGTGGGTGACTTAAGAGTAGCCCAGTTGAGGCAGCAGAGAAGATGGTTCTTTTGGGTTTTCTGCCAAAGGCCCAGGATCCTCATCCCAACTCCTAGATCCTGGATCATCAGCCTGAAGGACCTATAGACACCATCCAGCCCAGCCCCCACTCACGGATGGGGAGCCTGAGGTCAGGAGACAACAGGGTCCGCCCACAGTCATGGGTGAGTTAGCATGGGATCTGGACCAGAACCCAGATCTGGTTCCAGGCCAGGTTCCTCACTGCTCTGGCCTTAGACACTATCCATAGAGGAGCCTGACACACAGTGGGTGCCGAATAAAACTCGTTGAACTTGCACCGTTGACCAGGAGCCATCATTGTTTCATTTCATCAGTTTCCCAAAAGTTGAGAATATGCCACTTGCACTGGGACTCCAAGGCCCATGTTGTTGTTGTTGTTATGTGCCGTTGAGTCGGCCCCGACTCATAGCGACCCCTCCTTGGGTTTCCAAGGCAGTATCACTACGGAAGTAGATTGCCAAGGTCCACAGGTGATTACAAAGCCTCTCTCAAACATAAGCCAGATCATTTTGTATCAGCCAAGTCAGTCTATAGAGAGCTTCTCCTTTGCTTTTAATGACTGCAGAATGCTCCATTATACAGAAACGTCATCATGTATTTTACAGTCTGCTGTTGATGGATACATGGACTGTCCCCAATCTCAAGCTGATAATATAGTGCTGCCAGGGGTGACCTGTATCTGATCATCCTACACAAGCAAGGGTGTCCATGGGGGTGATGTCGCTGTGTCAGATGTGTGGGTATTTCAGCTTCATGGATAGGGCCAGACTCCCTTCCAGATACAGCAACTGAATTCCCCACAATGCTGGATATAGTTTGGGAAAGTGGCTTTATCCTGATTTTATTCACATGACAGTAGAGAAAGCGAGGCCACAGAGATGCATCCCTTTCTCCTGCTGCAACAGTCAGAGTAACAGGTGGCTCAGCCCTGACTCAGAGCTGCTAACTCCTAGTGGATTACCCAGCCCTCTCCGCCTGCTGTCTTCAGAAGCAGTGGCCTGGATGAGAAAGGGGGAGGGGGCACAGGGCTCCACTGTGTCCTCATGATGGCATCTACCCTGATAACAAGGACTATAAGGGAGGGACCCTTCACTGCCCTTTCGTAGATGAGGATGTGAGGCTCAGAGAGGGGGGACCTATCTGGGGTCAGTTGGGGAGCTGGGATTTGAATCCCAAGCAGCCTGACTCCACAGCTCCTGCTCTCAGCAACACCCACTGTGCTTGTCAAAGTGCGGAGAACGGGCCAGCCCTCTTCTTTTAAAATTTTGTATTATTCTGTTTTGCAGCAATGAACGTAAAAAAAAAAAAAAAGTCCCACAGTGGGAGGAGGGGCTGGCTTTGCAGCCCAGATCCTACAGACACAACAAAGGCCCAGGATATGTTGACCCTGTTCCTTAAAGAGGCATCTGAGCATCTTGAAAGCCTTGAGGCATCTGTCCCCACCCCCCCCAGCCATGACGTTGCTCCTCCCCCAGCAGCCTGGGAGCCAGCTCTGTATAAACAGCAGGCTGATGAACAGGGAGGGACCCAGGGCAACCCCACAGAGAACGAGTGCCCACTGCACAGCTCTGAAGACCGAGGATGCTGAGAGGAAGGCAGTCCCTGGAGGGCGCTTGGGGTCCCGGGTGAGCAGATGTTCATATTCCAGACGCAGGTTGTCAGGCGCCCAGCGTCTTCTGTTTATTGCTGCAGAGTAACCGGCCCGGGCACTGGCCGAGGGCGACTTCTCGCTGTAACCGCTGGAGCCAGGGATCGCCAAGGGAAGAGGGAGGGTGGCCAGTGTCAGGGCTCCTGAAGGTGGGCATTTGCTCTGTTGATGGCGTGTGAAAGCTTAGGGGCCACAGGACACTCCCAGTGGGACACAGTCACTTTATCCTTCGAAGCCTCACTTTTCTCATCTGCAAAATGGTGATAATCATGGACTCCTTTCAGGAGAGTGAAAAGATTTGAGGTCCTCTGTGTAAAGCAACTACACAGAGTGAGTGCTCAGAAAATCCAGGTGTTACCTCAAGGACAGCCTGGTTCCCTTTACTAAGCCTCAGTTTCCTGTCTGTGGACTGTGTATGCTCACACCCACCTTTCTGGATGTTAGGAGGAATATAATGAGACTAAAACCCAAAACTAAACAAACAAACAAACTCACTGCTGTCGAGTTGATTCCGACTCATAGCAACCCCATTGGGATTCCGAGGTTATAAATCTTCATGGAAGTAGATTGCCCCATCTTCCTTCCATGCAGTGGCTGGTGGGTTTGAACTGCTGAACTTCTGGGTGGCAACCAAATGCCTTATCCACTTCACCAGAGCTCCTTATAATAAGTCTAGTGCAGGAATAAAAAAAACTGGTGCCATCGAGTAGATTCTGACTCATAGCATCCTTTTTTTGAACAGAGTAGAACTACTCCATAGGGTTTCCAAGGCTGTAGTCTTTAAGCAGATTGCATCATCTTTCTCCCACAGAACAGCTGGTGGGTTCGAACCACCAACCCTTTTGATTAGCAGCTGAACGCTTAACCCCTGCACCACCCTAGACCCTCAATACATGATGGTTGTTGACATCTCAAAGCCGTGTGATCTCGGGCAAGTCTTGTTTTCCCTCAAATCCTCAGTTTCCCATCTGTGACACTGGAATAATCATGGCCACCACTCGGGTTCTATGAGGAGGCGAGAGGACAGCTGTCAGCCCCCGAACTGTGGTTTTTACTCAGAGACAGTAGTGCAGTGGTTAGGAGAGCAGAGGCAGGAACCCAACTGCCTGGGTTCAAATCCCAGCTCTGCCACTTCCTGGCTGTGATCTCAGACACCTTACCACCTGGGCCTATGTCCTCAGTGCTAATTGCCACACCCAGAGAGGCTTCAAGGTTGGAGGGGTTAACACCTGAGCTAAAGTGCTTAGAACAGGGCTTACCACTTAGTCAATATGCAATAAGTGTCAATTATAAACCTTATGCCAAAACCATCTGATCTTGGACAGGGCCCGTTTCCTCTCTAGGACGCAAGTATAAATGGAGTTTGGGGGTGAGGGTTTACTGGCTTAGTGGTTTCAGCCTTGGCTGCTCAGTATAATCACCTGGGGAACTTGGGGAAAATCCTAAGACCCAGGCCCACCCTAGAAATTCTGATTTAATTGGTCTGGGGTTTGCCTGGGCATCTTCATTGTTAAATTACTCCAGATGATTCTAACACGCAGCCAGGGCTGAGAGCCCCTGAGCCACGGGTTCTCTGCGGTTTGCAGAAGAAAAGTCACATTTTTTCCCTACCAAGTGAGGTCTCCATGGATCTGGGGCTTCAGAACAGCTTTCAAGGTGTGGCTGCTTCAGAATAGCACTAGTCAGTGACAGCTTTTGGGGAGGCCAGAGAAACTATGTCCCAGGGGTGTGAAACAAACACCTTACCCTTGGACATGCCCCCAGGGCTGAGAAGGGGCCCCACCCTCTCTGTCCACCAAGAGGGGAAGCCCAGACAAAGCTGAGTTCAGATGTGAGCTCACGGCCAGGGAACCTTCCCATCTTTAAACATGTTCGCGTCTCAACAGGCGCCGGAATTTCAACAAACGCTGGCTGTTCGGCCACAGAACCCGCCCTGCCTCACACCCTCTTACCCCCTCCGCGTCACACACACACAACGTCACTGACAATTCTGCTCCCCAAGCTTATTGGAATGCTTCCAGCTTCTGTAAAGACCTGATCCAGCGGAAAACGCCTCTGATCTTGTTTGTGTTTTGAAAACCCATCCGCCAGACTTGCTTCCTGAGGGGATTATTTAAAAAGGGAGAATTATGAGCTGATGATTTCTCTACAGTTTTTTTCACTTGGGTTTTCCTTTTTGTTCTCTCTCTCTCTCTGTGTGTGTGTGTGTGTGTGTGTGTGTCCACGGCAGGGAGCAGGATTTGGGGTGCTGTCGTGTTCCCTCAGTGCTTGTGTTTTGCCCCCTTACTGTAGTAACTGTAGTTTTGGAGCTTCAAGGACCAGATCTCACCGTCTCAATAATACTCACTGTGGTGGAGTTGACTCGTAGCGACCCCTCCTTGGGTTTCCCAGGCGGTATCACTACAGAAGTAGATTGTTCGGTCTTCCTTCTGAGGAGTGGCTGGTGGGTTTGAACAACCAGCCTTCTGGTTAGTAGTTAAATGCCTTAAGCACTGTGCCACCAGAGCTCCCAACAATACGTGTTATTTATTGAGCACCTAATTCACGCCAGGCTCTGCGTTGTTCTCGCACCAGCTCTAATCTTACCGCGTTGGTGTTTTCATCTGCTTTTTACACAAACACACTGATGCTCAGAAAGATACAGCTCAGAGATGCTCAAATTAATCCACTGTCAGTGTGGTGTGAGCTCTGCCATGACCACTGTGTGTCCTTAGCCAGCACGCACCTCTCTGAGTCCGGTCCAATAAATGCGGGTCACTGTTGTCTAGTGCACAGGACTGGTGTGGGGATGAAAGAGCTGCAGGGCTGGAGGGATCAGCCCAGCATCAGGACCCGGGAGCCCTGAATAAATGGTCTCTGGTCCCTACTATGCCCTAAAATGTTCCAGGGGTGTTTGGAAGCAAGTTAAATATTCACAAATGCGAATATTTGTATTACTTGCTGGGGGCAACTATGCAGAAATTCGGGTAATAGTTCACAACCTGCAGACCCTAGAGGCGCCCTGTTAGGACCCGCCCACAGGAAGGCACTGCCCTTCTGATTCTCGGATTTCTGGACGCTTTCAGGACACCGAAAGTGCTTCTGGGCTGTCTCCTCGCTTCTGTCTCTTTAATGAACAATTAACAAATTACCCTCTTTGTGCTTTGTCAGCACTCTGTGATCTCCATTTTCCACCCAAAGGAAGACCCCAGGTTCAGAGAAACATTCTCTTGCCCTTCCTTTCAATTTCTGGGCTGGCACAGATTAGGCCCTCTGGGAATATTGGTGGGAAGAGTGAAAATTATGGAATAATCAATAAATACCTGCAGGAGAGGGAGCTCTGGATGCAAACAAAGTCTGGGTTAAAGACAGGTCTGCCTTTGTTCATTTCTGTTAGGCATCTTCTGTGGTTGGTCCAGAGCAGGAACGCTGCCATGGCCTCAGTTGATCCTCACCAGCCCTGGGAGGAGAATGCTTATGGTCCCATTTTACAGATGGGGAAGCTGCGACCACACCACCAT